GGTGCCTATAGTCCCAGCTACTTGGGAGGCAGAGGCAGGAGAATCACTTGAGCCCAGGAGTTGGAGGTTTCTGTGAGCTATAATGCCACAGCATTCTACCCAGGGCGACAGCTTGAGGCTCTGTCTCCAAAAAAAATAAAAAAAGAAAAAGGTCAGTGCCTGTGCCTCAAAAGAGTAGGGCGCTGGCCCCACATACCGGAGGTGGCTGGTTCAAACCCAGCCCTGATCAGAAACTACAAGAGAAAAAGAAAATAAGGCTTTGTGGTAGGTGCCTGTAGTCCAGCTACTTGGGAGGCTTAGGCAAGAAAATCGCTTTAGGTTTGAGGTTGTTGTGAGCTGTAACGCCATGGCACTCTATCCAGGGCAACAGCCTGAGAGACTCTTGTCTCAAAATAAAAAAATTCTAGCTCAGCACCACTCATATATACCCAGGGTGGCAAGTTCGAAGCCGGCCCGGGCCAGCTAAACAACTGCAACAACAACAAAAATAGCCGGGCGTTGTGGTGGGCACCTATAGTCTCAGCTACTCAGGAGGCTGAGACAAGAGAATCGTTTAAGCCCAAGAGTTTGAGGTTGCTGTGAGCTGTGATGCTACAGCACTCTACCGAGGGTGACATAGTGAGCCTGTCTCAAAAAAAAAAAAAAATCTGCATTCTAGAAACACATACAGGTAGTCCAAGCCTGCTAAAAATAAAAGGAAAATGTGTGCAAATTTTTGGTAGAATTTTAGTATGGAAACTCCTCTGGCCTGATCGGGGAACAAGGTCACCGTACACGGGGTGACCTCCCAACCTCACCTCTGCCTGTGTTCTCCAATTTCCCTTCATGCTTCTTTCAATGGGTATTGAGAATCTAATAGAAACACACCCACCCTCTAAGCTTCAAGGTCTCCCACCCTGCATCCTTCCCTAGGGTCTCAAGCTACCAGAGGAGCCAGCAAGTGCACAAAAAGCCCACCTGCTCCGCCAACTCAAGGGTAGTGGACAAAGCCAAGTAATGACAGTGGAGCAGCCTGGCTGTGCTCAACTGGAACCAACAGTAACAGGGGAACCAAACAGACCCACTGACTCACCACTCCAGGCCTTCCCAGTTGGTCTGTGACAAAGGGCAGCTGGACCTGGGAGGAAGAAGTCTGTGGCGCCCTTTGATTGGCCAGTGACTCACTCCTGCCCCATTGGCTAGGGAGGGTTGCTGCTGAAGAGACCAGGAAAGCGTAAGACAAAACTTCCCGCCACTCTGGCTGTTGTCCCAGCTCCCCTCTGTGCCTGCTGTCCTGCACAGTGGTAGGCAGCGCAGAAGACATCCTGATTTAACACTCCCAGGGCTTCAGACTGCAAGGAAGTCCTCTGGCATCTGCAACGTGGGTTATTTAGGGAGCTGCTCTGACTCTTTGTAATCTTGGTTCCATCCTATACCCTAAGCTCCTTCAGAAACGTGTGTGTCTTGAACACCCTTCTGTTGTCACTATAGCCAATTCACAAGAGTCCGCTGGCTGCCATTGT